ACGAGACACAACTTGAACATGCACACACATACAGACATCATCATTGGACCCTGACACAAACAAAATTGCCCGAGTGTCTCGTACTGTGACGGGCGTCTTTTCCGGTATGGAAAACAGCCGCTCAATGGCGAGCGAACACAAAGTAGCGTACACGACGATGGAAAACCACTCCCCGTTCACACCTCATGAGGCAGTGGGGCAACGATTGCGGTCCTCCGAAAACGACGCCCACATTGATTGATGCAACGCCGTCGTGATTGGCAGATGGTTGGATCTGAGTCTGTGTGTCTTTGCGTCACCGGCCTGACTTCAGCCTGACTTCACTTGCTGCTGTCTGTAGTAGGCTCTTAGTCGCTGGCTTGGTCGTGTGTCTTCCTGAGCCTGCTGAAGTGCGCGACGAATTTTGTAAGCGTGTCTCACGAAGCGCAACAGTACATACAAGTTCAACACACAGCTCACACGCGCGATCAAAGGTACTTAAATCTCCACGACACACTCGCTCACTTCCTCATTTCTTCTTTCTTTCGACCGCTTCAATCCTCTCGCGCAGCTCACGCAAGCCTGTAAGCGGGTCTCGTAAGGAATTGCATTGAGCTTCATTTATGGTTCTTACCTTTGGAGATGTCGCCCATGGTCGCGGTCTGATGGTCGGCCTGATCCCAGATGCTCTTATTCAGAAGCACCTCGAGGGACTCGGGCATCTCGGCACCCAATACATCGAATCGGGGATGAACATACGGTGTGTTCATTGTCTGCACAGTGCATAGCTATCAGAAGAGCCAAAAATGACACCGTGAAATACCTTCGTGTCTCCTGCTGCCGCCTTATCGGGAATTGCGTAGCTGCTCAGGATTTTGCTCCTGACCATTTCTGTTGCATCTTCAAGCGATAGACGATCCACCTTGGGAAGACATTCCTGACATCCACATAAATCAGCTTCAAGTCACCTGTGCCCCTCCCCCGCTGCCCCCCCGCCCAAATAGCTCACTCGTAGCACAAGAGTCGCAACTTGTCGTGAAATGAGACAAAAACCCGGACAATTTTTCGAGCAGCTGCATGCCTTTGAGAACGTCGCCCATGATAATTTATTTCGCGCGGTATCGTCCTTATGCTTGTCGACCCTTGATGCCTCATCAGTCGGCTTGTCCTGATTTCCTTCCTCGCAGTGTCTCTCACAGCAGCGTCTCCAATTCGGTGGATTCGCATAGAAGAGAAGGAGTCTCAGCAGCCTTGGCACCCAAGACAACATCCACACAGCCCCAAAAAGGAGCAGGTAAGATAAAAAGATAAGACCAAATATGACCCAATACGCATAGGCAGCCCATACGAGTTGAACGCTCTCATGCTTCTTGGGGGCCTGTGGGTTTGAGAGGTGCTCGACTTGCTTTGCCACGCGGCCTTGGATGTAGCGGGACAGCATCAGGCAGGGAAGCAGTCCTGCATCATCGATTACTTACACAGGAACGTCAGAATTATCCTCCAAATGTCTTGTTGACGAGTGTGTACCGGGTAAAAAGTTGAGCGGGATGGGGAGCTCGGTGCAGATGTATGAATATGAATACTCGTTGAGCACTTTGATGCGTAGCTGCTCGTATTGGGCTTTGCTAGTCTCAAGAATGGTGGAAAAGGTTGTCGTGAACAGTGCAATGAGCAGGTTGAGCTGCAACAGGGATCAATCCAATACAGAGTTTTTTCCATGAAGAGATTGTTGCTCTTGGTCTCATGTACCGCGATGATGAATGATACGATGACGAAGACGATAACAAGGACCCCTACCAGCACCAGATCCTCGTCAAAGGCAGTGTCCACGACCCCTCGGAAATCCCCGACTACAAAGAGTGGACACGGGCAGCCATACACACGGGCAGCCGTACAGCCCTACTTCGACAGGAGAACGTCGCTCTTGTTCAATACCGGACACGTAGAAGAGCGTCAAACACGCGACGTCGAAAGTGCCAAACGGTTGTGGCATTTCGTCTCTAGCGAGGGCCCACAATGCCAAGGCGAATGTGACGATGATCAGGCCGTAGATAAGGAAAAACCTCGTCACATCGCGCTGAATAATCTGAATCACTGTCCTGAAGACAGGGATCGCCACAGCTTTCATTGTTCAGCGATGGTTGACTTACAGGACGAGCGGCCCTATGGGCCTGAACAATGTCGCAGACTGCAGTAGGCGCAGAGCGGTTGTCAGTCCGATTAGCGTCAACAGCTGCGGGACCGGCTGTCTGTCGCCACGGTCGAATGAAAAAAAGACAAAGACGATGCCCAAAACGCAAGTTGCGAAATCCAGGATGTTCCTGCAGACGGGCGATCGAGCCATCCATCGAAGCGTCTTGTACACGTGATGAAGAGCACACGGAGACAGCTGACCAAGGATTGAAGAGATACCGCTACAAGTCCCAACAAATAGGAAAGCGAGCCATCTGCCAGGCATTCGGATGATGAAAAAGAATTGAGAAGGGAATGACGTCGCCTTTTCTCAGCATTTTTTACCTGCTTCACTTCTTGCACCACTAGCCCTATTGTCATCAAAAATAAAGGCCAAAAGACGGGAACTTTGAGGAAAGATCGTGGCTCTCGTGCATCGCTGCTGTCTGCCGCGCCCCCGAATGCCAAACCGCTCCTGGGACAGTCAATCATACCCGCAATAACAAATCGCACATGATGAAATGTGTGGCATTCGTACATGAGGGCTATTGACATGGATTGTAGCAGAAACATGGTCGCAGGGGCAAACAGCAGTGAAGCTGCTTGAACAGGGCGACTCTCTGCCCACCGCCAAGCAGGGGCATTTCGAGTCAGCGCGTGGAGCGACAGGTCGCTCCAATTGCCCTTTTTCCACCGTTCATTGGCTAGGCGGATGATGCTCGGACAGAGAGCAACGTCGAGGGCATTCAGCGACTCCGTGAGCTGCAGCAAGTGACGCTCCTCCCTTCTTTCGCTGGTGAAGCTAAGGACGAGTAAGTCGAGGGCTCCTGGACTGTTCGTATCCTTCCCTACGATTCGAAGCATGGCCTACAACGAAGTGGCAGACATCGTGATGGTGGCACACATTCTCCCATCTGACCGTACCAGGAACGTCTGAAGGTCATAGTGGGAGACGTGTGCATCGAGGAAAACGAAGCATGGCCTACAACGAAGTGGCAGACATCGTGATGGTGGCACACATTCTCCCATCTGACCGTACCAGGAACGTCTGAAGGTCATAGTGGGAGACGTGTGCATCGAGGAAAGCCTTCGTGTAGCCAAGAGACGTCCGAATTTGTGGGTCAGTAAGCACTGCGTGCCACTTCTTGAGACTTCCGGTGTGGATCCGACTTGGAAGCAGACATGAGCAAAGGGAGTTGGGGAGGCAGCCACGAAGGCCATTTGATGGCACAGACGGCTCCGGCAGGCCCTTAAGGGCCTGATTAAGGGCCTGAGTCTCTTTCACCGTAAAGAGTGGTGCAAGCATTTTCCACAGCGTGTGCCTGCAAGAGCGACAAGTGCAAAAGCCGACAGGCTACATCACACGCAAGATAGTGGGCACTCTCACTCGTCCACATCTTGCAAATAATGCGCCGTGCATCTCTGAAGCGCAAGGAACAGGATCCAAGGTCTCACCTTCAACTGGAAACTGACCTTTATCCATTCTAAGAGCTCGCCAAGCTCATCCGACAGCGAGTCCCTCTCCTCCTTAAAGCGCTTCTTGACGACTGTCGCGACCTCAAAGCAGAGACTGATCGGTGTCCTGCTTGAAACGATTTGGCCTTTCAGAAACGCCCTCACGGCTTGGTAGTGCTCAGACAGGAATGCCACTGAGAGCTCGTGAAGCACCTGCCAGAAATGTAAGCACCTCTGTGACAATGGTGAATGAGCTTGAATTTGCTGACATATTGCACAAAGGCGACAGTGAGCGGCAGGATTGGCACAGTCGGATTAAACGCGTGGAGGAGCTCGAAGGCTGCGTCGAAAACCTCTGCTCCTCTCCTGGCTCGCACCGTCAACATGTTGCGGAACAGTGTTTCCTTCCGGTCCTTGTGCACGTCGGTGTCTTCCAATATCTGTAGATGTGGCGAAATGGTAACAAAACAGAGAACAGTCGCAAACAGAGCGACTCTGGCTCTGGCTATACGTACCCGTTTCTCGACCACGAAAGATAACACTTCTCGACGGATGGTCCGAATTGACGGATGGCAGAGCAGGCTCCCCAAGGTATGGAGAAATGCGGCTCTGCTTTCGACAGTCTTTCTCCTGCGCTTTTTGAAGAGGCGCTTGTTTGCCTCTAGCACCAGACGGCATACGCCATCTTGGAAATTTTTCATGATGTCTCTTTCGTCCAGCACGTCGATTTGATGGGCTTGTGGGATTCCTGTGTCCTGTTATAGACAGAGACCTAGAAAAAGGGGATAGAGTTCGTTGGCTTCCTAACCTCTCTTAGCGCCACGTAGAACATTTCGAGGAGACGGCCGATCAGCACATAGCCTTCCTCTTCTGGTGAAGCCTTGTCCGCAACAATTTTCAGCAGTGTCTGCGAGGTGCAACAGAAGTTTCGGCAGCGTACCAAGTACTCAGACAAGTTACGAGTACCACAAGTGTCTCGGGTGCCTGTGTTTCCGTCCGGCGGCTGAGAAATGCTCTTTTGCCTTCCTTGCTGTCTGTAAGCCGCTTGAGGATGGGAAACAAGATTTGTCTGAGGCGCGGCCATTTAGGCTCCTCCACGCCTTCTGCCTTGGAAACAAATGCCTCGATGGGTAGATTATCTCCCTGCCAAAAAAAGAACGCTGTCTCCTATTCTCTTGTCAGTCTCTGTAAACTCACTTTCCTCCTTGGGATTTGCAAGGCAGCTCTCCCCCCTGGAGCCTCCAATAGCTTGTCAATGATGGCCAGACGGTCAGCTTTACCATGCTGCTCATCAGATACCCATTTAACGTCCAGGGCGCAGTGAAGTGGTACACGTTCTTTCTGTCAACGGGAAAAAACGTTTTTGGGGACCACTTAGGGCGAGTCTACCTCTTTTCAATGTCGGACCTGGTCCTGCTGTGTGATGAATTTCCTCATGGTATCATCTCCGAGTGGAAGCTCTAGCAGATAGGATACGACAGGCAAATCGCTTACTTCGACAGCTTTGTGCAATAACGTTTGGTCGCCTCCACCACTTTCGTGTTTCGGACAGGTGTCACGTAAAGAAGCACTTCTTCAAAGCGAGTTCATTTTCTCCGCCATATATACTACATGCTTCTTCGGAGTCTTGAGCTCCAGCAATGTCTCTTTTGGCATTCGCTCGAGGATGTCTCCCAAGAGTGCAAGCCGAGCTCGTCGAGCTTTGTCGTTTTCGAACAGCCGTCCAGGTTGAAGGAGATAGAAGATGAACGGATCGAGGGGAGCTTCTGTACTCGTACTGTATGAGTCGGCCTAGACATTAAATAATGGTATGGTATTGAGCGATGATGCTATGGGATGATGCGGCGGCTTCATTGTCAATGATGCACTCACCCGAGAAACGAGTTTGTCCTGCCAGAGCGGCGTATCCAAAAGGCATTTCCATGCAGTCGGATATACCCGACCAAGCACGTCCATCAGTGACAGACCCGTTGTTTCATCAAGGAGAAAGACCTCCTCGACCTGATCAACCAGGCATACAGCTCTTAACATGTCTTAATTCCATGACAGAGGCCCTCCTACCGCGATTGAAGCCGGACTATTCTGCTCCAGGAAATCGCTGAAGTCGTTTTTCTTGCCATGTGACGCCAAGAGCATCACGTCAAGAAACTTGAGGGTAAGCTGCCCTTTCTCCGGGTGCTTCTCAAGTCGCTGCTTCAAACTATTCTTGAATCGCTTCTGCGCATGTGCTCCGTCTATTTGGGCAGCCTCCGATGTGTCAGGCTGATATGATGGCTCTGCTAGTACGGCAGAATTTTTCGGCTTCCTTGATGGACTTCTTGGTTGCTGAAGGAGCCAAGGAGTCAACAAACAGATACAAGAAGCTCAGTTTTCAGCCCCTTACCAGCAGGGTTGACGCTGCCTTCCTCCAACAATTCGACGGCGCCTTTCTTGGTCAGCACGTTGATTGCGGCGAATGCCTCGTCGCCTCCCAGAGCTGCTTCAAGTGGCGTGAAACCGTCATTGTAGGACTTCTTCCTCAATGCCTCTCCTGTTTTCCCAGCCACTTAAGCCACTCTTCCCCCTTTTCGGTCCAGGATTGTTCGTCACAGATCAAATGCAGCAGCGTCTTCCCGTCGATGCCCTATGACACAAAGTGGGAGGGCTGATGACAGAGGATGGACATAATTCAATGGATTACCCCTGGTTCGCCACCGGCTTCCAATACTTCCTCGACTGCAACCATATCGGGCTGCAGACGTCCCTCGTCATCTGTGTTTGCTAAGTACTCCTGGACCTTTGTCCATAGCCTCCTTTCGTCATCAATTGTGCCTGCATCGGGGGAAGGAGGCCCGGCCGATGCAGGCTGAAACAGAACAGACGACTACTTATGTGCACCATATGTCTTCTAGTTTCTGCCTACCCTCGAGGTCTCTTCAATATCTGATTCCCCAGCAACGTCCACAGGTTGTTGCGCGGGATGCGGCTCTGGTGGGCCTGCCATCTCGGAGCCGACTTCTCCCATCTCAGCATCATGGACACGGACAACATCGGAGTCGGGGCGTGACTCTGACGGGGTGCTCGCCACAGGCTGAACAGACGAACAGACAGAGGCAAGCCGGTCCGTCGCTCCGCCATGACACACACATGCACACTCACGCAATCCTTACTTTTGTTACCCCCTGAGAAGTCTCTCCGTCAGCCAGGCCTGCCAGTGGCACGGACTCCTCGGGAACAACACTCGCAATCGTTCTTCTTGGGGAATAGCGAGGAGACCGAAGACTCTCCACATGCTGCGGTGAAAAACTCGAGTCCACTCCCCAGGATGTCTGCGAATAGTGAGGAGACTGCGGGTTTTCCATCGGCCTCAAATTCTCTCGCGAGACGGGGGCCACGTGGGGGCTGCGATCTTGAAAGATTCCCGAGGCGTTTTCTTTCCCGTCGGCGTCACTGCACGGGCCCTCATGGGGAATGAGCAGTCCTCTCCCGTGGCCGCATATGCCCCTCGGCAACGCGAGGAAGAATGGACGCCCCGACTAGTCATGCACCCCACCCCTCCCCCAGACGCAGGCAGGATCCCCTCACGTCATTCTGCTGACGTGTCCAGAACCAGCTACGTCAACCAAAACGGCCCTCTCCCAACAGGCCAGCGGGTGAGTGCATCCGGCCATTCGGTTGTGCCCGTTTCGGCATTTCCCCAGAGTGCGGCGGTGTACATGCAACATGTGCATCAGCCGGCGATGCAGATCACCCAGAGAGGTACATGCGTATGCATATGAGAGTTAGTGTGCATATCTTTGTCTGTGCATGTATGTCCCGGTCTCTCGCGTGTCTACCGTGCAGGCAGCCAGTGGCGGTCCTCCCCGGGCCCTGCTTCTCCCCTGGCATCCCTTCTCCACCAAGCCATGACGGCCATGAACAAAGGGCACTTCGCTGAGGCCGTCCGACTGTACACAGAAGTGCTTCGTCACCAGACGGCACTCTCGGGCGACGACTACATCAGTGCCCTCCACAATCGCGGTTTCTGCAACGGCCAGCTGGGGCAGTGGCCGAGCGCCACACAGTGCTTCGAACAGGCCTGGAAATATGTAAGACAAGCTGATCAAAGCTGAATATGGTGCGCTATGATTCTGTCGTGCTGTGTGATTCCGCTCTGTTAGTGTGGGCGGACAGATTTGGAGACCGTCAAGATGTACGTCTACTGCCTCAGGCGAACGGAACAAACAGACAAGTGAGGACGAAAACAGAACACAATGAGACATCAGTCGGTATTCTCTGTCCAATGGCAGAGCGGTCAAGGTGTGCGAACAGGCTGCTGTGGATTTCCCGACGGAGCCGCTGCCGTACAAGTTGCTGGCCGAGCTGCTGCTGAATGTGGAGCCGATGAGGCCCCAGGAGGCCATTCAACAGGCACTCAAGGTGCTCGAGCTGTGCGACACTCGCAGTGACCTCGACCAGCAAGACAAAGCCGACGCCCGGATCAGTGCACACAAGTCACTCGTTTTCGCATACGTAAGTGAGCAGAGAGGGGGCAGGGAAGGCAGCCATGGTTCCATCGATTCTGTTGTCATCTGTTGTGTGCGTTGTAGGATTTGGTGGCCAGCGTGCCCGAGGCGGCTCACCACACGCGGCATATTGTGGAGTGTATTCGCAAAGACCACGATTGGAGAGGCAGAGACAGAGGTACGCGCAGTTTGGCACTCGACTGCTTGTGGCGCCGATGGGTGGCCAAACGTGATCTCTCTCCTTTGCATGGATTCATTACATCAGCCGTGTATCGAGAAGCGATTGGGATCAGACGTGAGCGCACACGGATAAGTTCTCTGGCACCTTTGTTTCCCTGTGTGTTTGTTCCATTTTTTCAGACAAGTATTTGCTGCATCTGCATCGGTATCGCAAGGCACGAGAGGAGCTCGAGTACATCCTCAGACACGACTACGGATTCGACGGCCATGACATTCGGCAGGTACGCACGATGGAAAACAGCCCGTGGCGGGCTGTCTGTATTCCCCTGTCCTTCTCACGGTCAGTTTGTGTCCAGCGGTGAGTCGCCTGAGAAAGTGCAACTGCTCGTGAGAGCAGGTACGCATATTCACGTGTGTACGGAACCGGGATGGGCTGAACGGCTGCGAATGTATGTGGGCCAGCTGATTTGTGGCGTTTGTCGGGTCGGCTGGAGGATGCCGCCACGCACCTGCACGTCGCCCAGCAGCTGCGGCCCGACACACACACCATCACCATGATCGCAGACCAGTACCTTCGGGTGCGTGTTGGCAGGGACACCAATGTGCACATATCCTTCACACTTAAATGTCTCCCCTTTCTGCCTGTCTGTCTGTCGTGCAGATCGCTGCTCTCTATGACCTGTACCCCTCACCGTCAACCACCCCTCCCACCCCCCATCTGCTCAGCCAAGCCCAGACGCTCCTCCAGACCGCATTTGAGGACCACCCTCCGGCACTGTTTGTGATATTTCTCATTGGCATATATCTCTACCAGACGAGGCAGTATAGGGAGGCCCTGGTCAGGTTCCAGCACGTGTTGGCCAACAAGGAGAGGGCAGAGAGTGCGGACAAGGCGGGGTGGTACATCGAGTTGGCCTGCGTGTATGGGATGAGCTGTGATGGAGACATGGAGGGCTGGCTGGATGGCGCGGGAGGCGGCACCGAGCTCGTCTACCTGTGCGCCAGAATGCAGCAGTGAGTCGCTGGGTGGGGATGGATGCGCAGGTGGCCTATCTGTCTATTGTTGAATTGCTGAGTGAATGCATTGTTGCAGGATGGATCACCGACGCGCCTGTTTGGATCGGTTGTGCGATGGGCTTCGCCGCTCACCCGTGGCCTACAAGCCACTCATCAAAGCGGCCACACTGTGCCTATACAAGGGAGACACCGTAAGCCAACAACACGTGAGAGAGAGAGAGAAAGAGAAAGAGAAAAACCGCCAGCAGGTGTTTCGTGTATCCAGGGTCTGTGCCGTCATTTGTTGGATCGCGCTCGCCCGTTGTGCCCTCCCTCCCTGGACCTGCTGCCCCACACCAGCCAGCTGAGCAGCAGCATGTCGCTGCGCCAGTGCCACGAATGGGCCAACTACTTTGCGCAGAAAATCATCCCTGGTTAGTGCGTGACACCAGTGTACACTTCTACACGTCTACACGTACAGCTGTGTGGGTCTCTGTCTGTTGGCCAGAGGCCCAGTATACGGTGGAAACGGACCCCACTGCGACTGTGCCCCCCTGTCTGACCGGTCTTGTCACGTACATACTGCCAGAAGCCATCAGCACACCCACACCCGCACCCGCACCCGCAGCGGCCCAGCCATCCGTCCCTCTCATGTCTCACCCACATGCGGCTATCGACACCCCTGCAAGTGTGTGGAGGGAGAGAGAGGTGAGGGGTGAGACAGGCCAGCAGCGATCTGTAGCTACACGTATCAGTATGTCTCCCTCTCTCTCTCTGTGCGTTTCTGTGCTTGGTTAGGTTGATGTGTCCCCCTCCCCCCTGCTGCCCTTCCCCGCCCCCCTGCCGCCCATCTCGCCCTACCAGCGGGCACCGCCCACCTTCTCGGCACCGCTCGACGGCGGGCCTGACCCCTTCAGTGCACCGACTGCATCAGCAGCACTAGCGGCACCGCCATCCGCAGCGGCGGCAGGCGTGCTGTTGCCGCCCATTCCCCTCAGCGTGCAGCCTGGTGGCGAAGAAACACAGCAAGGGCAGCCGCCATACCTGTCCATCGACCATGAGCAAGCGATGATGCTGGACAGAGAGAGGGAGCTGGAAATGGAGAGACAGCAACAGATAGAGATGGAGAGACAGCGCCGGCTTGCAGAGCAGCAGCAGCAAGAGGAGCAAGAAAGAGAACGCGAACGAGAAAGAGAGAGACAGCGCGAGATGGAGAGACAGAAGCAGATAGACATGGAGAGGGAGATGGAACAGCAGCGGCTCCAACAAGAGAAGGAGCTCCGGGAGCAAAGGCTGCGCGACAACGAGGAGCAGCTCAAGAAGGTCTACAAGGAGGCCGTCAAGGGCCCCCAGGGCACAGCCAAGTGGCAAGAGGTGTTGGTGTTGGCGAGCGAGCGGCTGCAGTATGTGTGTGACGACGAGAGAGCACTCGTCATGATGGCCAGGGGGACCCTCGAGCTGTAAGCACATACAAAAGGCCGAACCTCATCCACGACACCTACATTTCCCTCTGTCTGTCTGTGTATGCGTGTGGTAGGTGGCTTGCCGGTGTTGGCGACGAGAGTCGGCTGAGGGACGTCATGCAGCGAGTCAAGCTCCTCCCCGACACAGTCGACCTTGGGTGGGGTACCCAACACAAGACACCAACACCCACTCTCACCCCCACACCGATGTGTGTGTGTGTGGCATGAGTGCAGGTATGCCATCAATCTGCACCTGGGTCAACAGGCGGCGCGTGACGGGTCAGAGACCGATGTGGAGCGCTATCTCGGCAAGGCCACCATGGCCAGGCCGGGAGACCCACATGCACTCACATCATGGGGGCAATTCAAATCCAAGCAGGCAGGCACAGGCGCACAGAGAGGCATCTTAAGCTGATTCTCTCGTCTCGTGTCATCTCGTCTCGTCTCGTCTCGTCTCATTGCATTCAATTGGTGCAGGGTCGGTACAAGGAGGCGGAGGAGCTGTTCCTGTCCATTCTGCCGGACCTCATGCCGCCAGACATGGACATCTCACCTGACATGGCCGACGTTCTCTGGCGGCAGGGCCGATACGCAGACGCACTCCCCCATCTGCAGAAGATCGCAGACACCCAGGGGGAGGGCATGAGTGACGACTTGCTCGCCAAGCTCATCAGAGCGACTGTGGATGCACAAGGGTGTGTGGGGGGTGGGAAGAATTGGGAATGTCCCCTCCATCCATCCATCCATCCATCCATTTGTGTGTCAGGATGTCTGCCGCTGACTCGTTGCTCCGCCGTGGCCTGGCAAGAGACCTCCTGGGTGGGTGGGCAGGCTTGTCTGTTGCCTGTCTGGAGACGAGGTGCTTTGCATGATTGGATTGGTGGCCTGTGTTGTGGGTTGGTGGTGGTGGTGCAGATGTGGGATTGCTAATCGAGTACGGCCGGTGGCTCAGCAGTCGCCAGCAAGACACAGACGCCATGCGCTGCTTCGACACCGCAATGAGGAAAATGCCGGGCGACAAGGGTGAGTGAAGACACGTGACACCGGGAGAGAGAGATGGATGGCTGGCTGGCTGTGTGTGTGCAGTGGGTGCGCTTCCACCCGACGCTCGTGAGACAATAGCACGATCGTACGCGACACAAGGAAGAACACAAGAAGCCATAGCCACGTACCAAGTGAGACAGACCTCAAACCACACCATCCGGCACCCTTATACATCCTTTCGTCCGCCAGACTTTGGTCGGCGAGCTGGACGGCACACGAAGAGCCGCCGTGTGGGTCAAGCTTGGCGGCCTGCACATACAATTGGGTGCGTGGGGGGAGGCCCAGTCGTGCTACGAGGAGGCCATCGCTGTGGGCAGCAGTGGTGGTGCCGCTGGGTGTCTCGACGCATGGATCGGGCTATATGAGGTGGGGAAGCGCCTCGATGGGCTGGATCTGCAGATCAAGTGCCTCACGCGCCTCATCGCACTCGACAAGGACAACGCCAACCAGCACACGTACCCATAAGCACACCTGTGTGGACTTATGTGCCTCGTGTATCACACTTTTCTGTGCAACAGGCTGTCGCTTGCGCGTCTGCATGACCGAAGTGGGGACCGTCAGAAGGCCATGGAGCGCTACTCCCAGCTGAGCCCGCCCCTTTGTGACCTGCCCGATGTCATCGCAAGACTCGCACAGCACGCCATCGACCAGAAGTCAGCAAACCAAATCAGACAGATATTTTCTTCCCACCACAAGCAATCTCGCTTGCAAAAATTGTTCATCTGCAGGGACTTTGCCGGAGCTTCCAGGCACTACGACCGGCTGCTTTCCCACGAGCCCCAAAATGCCGACTACCTGGAAGGCTACGCCAGGTGTCTCAGGAAGCTGGTGACCACCCAGACCAGCACCCCAAGCGACACAAGGGGTGGTGTGGCGTACCGTGACGAGGCCATCCGTGCGTATGAGCGCCTGCTGGCTGTGAAGCCGGCCATGGCGGAGGCGCACTACCACATTGCCGAGCTGTCGGGGGGCGATTACATGGACGGGGGCAGGGACCTGTCGAAGGGCAAGAAACATGTGGCTTTGGTGAGAGAGGGAGAGAGGGAGAGAGAGAGAGAGAGAGAGAGAGAGAGGAGGGAGACATGACCGACCCGTATGTGTGTTGTGTGTGTGTGTGCGCAGGCATTGAATATGGCCCAGTCGCCTGAGCTAAGGCTGGCCCTTCACTACCTTGGTGAGCCACATCACATCACATGACGGAGAGACAGCGTAAGGCGAAAATGGAAAGGTCCTGGCTGGTGTGGGCTGTGCAGGTGCCAAGTATCACGCCATGGATGACCAACACGAAGAGGCTATGGCACACGTCAGAGCGGTCAGTAACTACTTATCCCTCCCTCCCTCCCTCCCTCTCTCTCTCCTTCCACATGTGTGCATCCTTACGTACGTGTGATGTGTGTGTGTGTAGGGTTTGGCATTGAAGGCCACCGAGGCAGCCCTCTATCGGCTGGAGTCGCTGATCTGGTTCAGACAGCACAAGCACCACGACGCCTACAATAGCGCACAACACGCACTCAGAGCCGTCAAGGAGGACGACCCAAACGCCATGTCAGTCAATCAATCAACGTGTGACATGTGTCTCCATCCATCCCTCTCTCTATTCATGTGTGTCAGGACCATCAAGGCGGACCTCCATCTGCTGATGGCCCAGATAGCCGATCGCACACACAACGCCCCCAAGCTCGCCACTCACCTGGACGAAGCGCAGAAACTCGTGAGCACCCACTTTGCCATCCCACAGACCAACACAAAAGCCTCTTTGTTTGTTTGTGTGTGTGTTGCAGGGCCCAGTGGCTGTGGATGCGTACCTGGTTCCTCTGCTGCAGGGGTCCATGTCGATGTCTGCGGCACTCGCAGCACTGCCCTCTTCTTCCTCTCCTTCGGTCGACACGAGTGCAGTGGAGGCATTGAACTTCTTCAATAAGGCCGTCGAGCTGAACGCCACTCACCCAGAGGCGCACACCAAAATGGTCCGTTGTGTAGGGCTGGATCCGTGGATGGATGGATGGATGGACGGATGTGTGTGTTGTTCTGTCTCAGGGGTACTGCATGTGTGTGCGTGGCGACGCCGAAGGGGCCAAGAAGGCGCTGTCTCACGCACTAGAGCTGCCCGGCAGCTTCATCAACGCCCAACCCTCCATCAAAGGTCACTTCTCATGCACCACACACGGATGCAGCGACCAGACAGACATGTGGGTGCATCCGTTGCAGGCCTTGCGCACATCTACATGGCCCTGGTGGCAGCTCATGAGAAGGGGGACCAGACGCCGTATGCGGCATACAGCCACCACATGCAGCAGGCCACCGCGCTGCACGGCCCCCTGGCAGCCCATGTGGCGTCACTGCAAGCCACCCAAAGCAGCTCAGCCGGGACAACACACAAGCTCTCCGCCATGGCAGCCGAGCTCACGAAGCTCACTGACCTTTACCTCTCAGAAAGAGATGCCCAGACGCTTGCCAAGTAAGAGAGAGGGACACACAACGCACAAAGACGCCTCTTTATGTGTGCTGTCAGGCTACTCTGTGCGCATCTGTGTCTGACGTACATTGACGACACAAAGCAGCCACCAGCACCTGCACCCACACCCGCAACACCCACACAGCAGCCACAGCCACAGCAGCAGCCAGCACCAGCACCAGCAGCAGCACCAGCACCACAGGCGGCACCCCAGCCAACACTGCAGGCAGCACCTGGCAAGCCCCAGCAGCATCTCGCCCCCGGTCCCGCTGCTGGTGTGGAGAGGCAAATGAGAAGGTGCATGACGCCACAGGTAGGTACAGATGAACAGATGGGTGCATGTTGGATGGATCCTTTTCTCTCCATGTATCTGTCTGTGTATGCGCTAAATTCAGCCCCCGTCCAGCCGTCCGCCACTCAATCGTTACGGGTCTGGGTCGCTGGGCCAGCAGTGGGGGGCGGCGGCATCGGCACCCCCTCAGCCACACCACCCCTATGTGGCCCCGCCGGGACCACCACAACCAGCACAACCACCACAACCACCAGCTCCAGCTCCAGCACCAGCACCAGCCAAGGCCGTCACCCCAGCTACGCCAGCACCATTAGCGCAGCAAAGGGGTGCGTATCACCGGTCCGCCACGCCCCCACCCAACTACAGGTCAGCAGTCAGCCCATCCATCCATAAGTGGTGTGAAAGTGGGTGGGGTGGCTGGGTGTACAGGTATGCCTCGTCATCTCAGCAGCAGCAACAACCCGCTGCTGCTGCTGCTGTGGCTGCTGTGCCGGTTCCAGTCGGTGCTGCCGCTGCCGCCGCGCATCAGCACGCCCGGTCCCAGTCGCCCTCCCCCGCCCCCGCACCGCAGCGAAGGGAATGGCGCGCCCCCTCCGCTGGCCAGCCCAGACCACCACATCCACATCAACAGGCTGGTGCGTGAGGGAGCAAAGGGTGGAGGGATATGTATGGCTGAGTATTCCGTTGTGTGTGTAGGTCCTGCGTTTCTGCCTGCTGCCCATTTCGTGTATGCGCCGCCATCGCCCGCCGTGCTGCCCATGCAGCAGCAGCAGTACTCGGTGAACCAATGCACAGACAGTCAGACAGAAAGGAACGGAGGCATGTCTGTCTCAATGTCTGTCTGTATGCCATGTACGTGTGTGTCAGGCGGTACCTTCAAGCGTGTCAGGCCTCGCGGACCCATCAAAGCCACGTAGGAAAGAAACACAATAAAGAAACACCCTTTCTCCCTCTCCCCCTCTCCGTTATTCCATCAAACAATCCATCCATTATCAGCCGAGCGAGGCCGTCGCATGAGCGCCACAACGGTGTTGGGTCAGCGGCTGGGTCTGACCAAGCCTGAGCGGATTCGGTACGAGGAGCTGACGCTCCTCAAGTCGTTGGGCAGCGGGGGGTTCGGGAGCGTGTACAGCGGGCTGTACAAGGGGCACAAGGTGGCCATCAAGAAACTCCACCTCGAGAAGGGAATCGTCACTGAGGAACAGGTGGGTCAGTGAGTGGGGGGTGAGTCGTGCATGGCAACAAAGCAGAGTAGGGGGACGGAGGGACGGAAGGGAGGGAGGAGCTTCTTTGCTGTCTGACTTTCGCCTGATGATAAGACTAGCCCGAGAATACACTACAGAATCACACACCTGGTCTTTTTTTGGTGCAGTGCAGTGTGATGCGATGTGGTGTGTCTCCATCGAGCCACGCACTCCAATTTGTCTCGCTGTGTCGATCAGATTCGTGATTTGGAGGCCGAGATATTGGCCTTTCGCGACCTTCGCCACGAGCGGCTGGTGGCCTTCTACGGCGCCTGCCTGCGACACCCGAACTACTGCATTGTCACCGGTACACTTACACACACACACACACACATGTCTCCCTCTGTCTCTCTCTGGTCCATCCATCCATCGATCGGTCCAGAGCTGATGGAGGGTGGTTCCCTGCACGACCTGCTGCACGAGAAGAAGAGGCCGCTGCCCTTCAGGACACAGTGGAACATCGCCAAACAGACGTGCGAGGGGGTGGTGTTTCTGCACGCCTGCACACCCACTGTCGTGCACCGAGACCTCAAGTCGCTCAATATTGTGGTCCGTCGGTGGGTGGCGGTGGAGGGCATTCACCGGCTCTCATGTCTCTCTCTCTCTCTCTGTGTGTGTGTGTGTGTGTGTGGTGGGCCGGTGTGTTGTCAGCTTGACCGTGATTTGAACGCTAAGCTGTGCGACTTTGGGCTGACGACGAGCATGGAGAGGACACACATATCGCTCAAAGACGGAATGGGTGCGCACCGCACAGATGTCTGTTTGTTTGTTTGTATGGTGGATGGATGGATGGATAGAAGGATGGAGCACATCGATATGATACCTACACACACGAGTCTGTATGTCCTGTCTTGGCCTGGCCTGTTGTGTGCAGGAGGGTCGCCTCGATATATGGCAAGTCTGCCAGCACGACGAAACAGCTTACACTCATACACCATGAGATCGCACATCTGTGTGTGCCTGTGCGTGTGTCTATGCGACACAAACAGGCCCCCGAGTGCTACGACTCATCCAGTACACACAAAGACACACACAGAGAGACACACAGAGACAGAGAGAGAGAGAGGCACGGGTGCATTTGGCGATGAATGGTGTGGCCTGGTGTGACTGACTGCATCCATCAGCGAGTCGTATAACTGAGAAGGTGGACATCTGGGCATTGGGTTGCATCGTCATTGAGATCTTCGGGGGGCCCCTCCCCTTCAGTCACTGCACATCCATCCAGCAAATCATGACCTCACTCCTCCTCAAAAAAGAGGTACGTCCGTCATCACAATCCACACCACATGCCATTAATTGGGTGTCTCTGTGCGGTTTGTGCGTGTGTTGTGTTGACGTGTGCAGCCCCCGGTGGTCCCCCATTTTCTCCCTCCCAACATCCGACAGATCATTAAGGTGACGGGAGACCCAAGTTCTCTCCTCGCTGCAGTCACAGAGACGCGTGTGTGTGTCCATTGTGTTGTATTGTGTTGTGTTGTTGTGCGCGTCAGCGTTGCTTTGAGTTTGACCCCGCGAAGCGCCCCACTGCACGCGAGGTAAGTCAGTCTCTAGAGCAGCGAGGAGGGCTGCTGTCCTAATAGGCCAATGGCATTTACCTTATCAAGGACAGGTGCTGCGAGAGATCGAAAACACGCCACACTGACCGAGACACACACACACACACACACATATATATGTCGGATTCTGCCGTGTGGGAGTTTGCTGTCGCATCTGTCGATGTTGATGTGGCTGGGCATGTGTGTGCACAATTGTGTGTGTGTGTGCGGGCAAATCGGGGATCTTCGCTGTTTTTGCCTTCTTCTCGCTTTGCTCTCTTGGCCGTTGGGATTTCTCCAATTACACTGGCCTACATCCATCCATCGGGAGGGCGGAGCCCATCTTGAGCACATGAGAACCCGCAGACGCACAAAGCCATGAGTGGTGGGTGGGAGTGTGGTATTTGTTGTGAGAGGACATCTCGGTGGGTCAGGCAGGTGTTCGGTTTGGGGATGCGTGTCTTCCGTGGAATCGACACAGACACACACACACACACACACACAGACATGCACAGTGCACACGCGAAGTGTTTGCCTGTCTGTCTGTCTTGTTCGGTGAAAAAACACTCTCACAGCCATCTAGACGGGACAATAGTTTTGTCATACCTACCCAGCCCTCACGACGAATCTCTCTGTCTGTCTGTCCGTCTGTCTGTCTGGCTGTACACCGTACACCTAAATGAAAGAAGCCCCGCACGTCAGTCTGCCTCTCTCCCTCTCCGTCTTCATTTGCAGACAACGGACCCCATAGAGAGATCCACCCCGTATACGATTGATCATTGCCTGTGTCTCAGACTCGCGTCGAGAGACGGCCTCAGTGATTGGATGGCTGGCTGGTTGGTCGGTCACCACGTCTCAATCAATCAATCATCAAGCCTTCGGCCGCCCGGCCGCCTTGCCCCTGTTTGTCTGCATGGCGTGGGGGTATGGGTGGGTGTGGTGTGATGATGGGCCCCGCAGACGCACCTTCTTGCCATTGCGCCACCCACCCTACACACAAAAACAAAAGGCACTCACAGAAGAGGCACATACATATATACATACGCACACACGCACTCTTGTTTGTGCAGGGTGGGGAGGGGTGGGTGGGCGTACCTTGGTGTGGAAAGCCAATCCGCTACCTGCTGCGCCGCCCTTGACTGGCCCCTCCTCAGAATCAGCACTGTTGGCGTTGCTCTCGCTCGATGAAGGCACCTGCAAACACACACACACACACACACACACATGGGTGGAAACAGTCGCAGAGACGAACAGAGGTGGGCCGCATAGGTGGTTCACTCCCTCTCGTGGGCTCACTGACTGACATTGTTGTCCTGCGGGGCCCCGATGGCGACAAACTGGGGTTTGCTGAGCAGCAGGGCCAGGTATGTGATGAGGTAGTTGGCCATGGTGAGGGACGACTGCACCAGAATGGGCTTGCGCAACGGCCAGTCGGCCAAATCCATCCGCTCCAACACCTGTTCACAATCAACGTCTGTCTGTCTGTCTGTCTGTTTTGGTTGGTGTACGTTCTGTACCATTTCGCCATTGATCGCAGGTGGCTGTGGGATGACGCCCATCCGCCGCGACACCTCGGGGATGAACCGAAGACCGCTGCACATACACAGACGTGCATCCGTCTCATCTTATCTCATTGCATCTCGGTGCAGACAATGAGCGTGCGCTGATGACTTACGTGAATTCGTTGATAGCGAGCGCCTGGAAGGCCCACTTGACGAGGGATACCTGCTCGAGCGGTTTCAGCCATGAGGGCATCTGGTGGTTCTGCTGGATGCCACCCAACAGAATGAACACTACCATCAGCGCTGGACCTGCATGCACCAAACGTACACACAAACAAAGAAATGCCATCCATCCATCCACAAACATCCATCCATCCGTCCATCGGTGTGTGTCCGGCCATCTATGGTCTCTCTGTTACCGATGGCGAGTGCCGTTTCTGTGGTGGGCGCGATGCTGGAGAGCATCATGCCGAAAGAGGAGGATGCCAGCGTGTGCAGACCCAGCACACCTGCACCAGACAGACAGACAGACAGTCAGGGATAGAGAGAGAGAGATGACGTTGATGTGCACATCAAGCGAAGTGCATTCCTGTTGGATGTGGCCATTGACTGACTGACCGAGGAATCCGTATAGCTTGGAGACCGGCTCCGCATTGAGCCCCACAATGACGTGCAGGATTGAGCCAAAGAGTAGAGGAAATGTCAGCTCCACCGGCAGCTCAGACAATATCTGATTCCATCCATCCATCCGTCCATCCATCTCATGGTCTCTCTCTCTCTCTCTCTGACAGACAGACAGACCTTTGACAGTAGGTAAGGCGCGGCGCCGTACGACGACTTTGATCGTTCGTGCTGCACAACGTGCCTCTCCCGTGCGAAGACGTTGAGTGCCTTGACCATGGCGATCATGCCCGTGTTGATGACGCTGTGCATCAGCAACGCCATCCGGTCCTCTATCGCCTTCTGACCTGCACACACGCACCGATCGATGCCATCGATACTCACAAACACGCACACCCCTCTCTGTGCGTACGTGTACCTTTGCCGAGCCTCCCGAAGATGAGCCCAAAGAGGACGGCCAGGGCGACTGAGATGGTCGCTCGTAGGAGATTGGCGAGCGAGTCGCGCACCGTCTGCCGCCACGCACGGGAAAGCAGCAGGGCAAACTGCTCGGGCACACTGACAGATACACAGACAGACAGACAGATACACAGACAGAGAGAGAGGGGATTAGAGGAGCCTCTCTGTGTTGCCGGCGTACGCCTTGCTCACCTGCATTTGGGTACGAGATTGGATGAAGCTGGTGTCTTCCTCCTGCCCTCCCCACGGCCCCTCCGCCGCACCAGTGGGCTGCTCTGCTCCCTCGGCAAGGCCGCATACGCTGGCGGACTGGTGCGCCATGCTGATACACACACACATACATTAACATGAAAGTTGCGTCATGTGTATTTATGGTGCGGGATTCTGTTGTGTGAATGTTCGCACCCTTGGCCAGTTTGTCGATTCGTTCCTTGCACGTCTGTTCCTTGTCCTTGGAAGTCCGGTCGATGGCGGCCAGGTCGATGAGAAACTCGGCGGGGTTGTACTGGGCCGGACAGGGGAAACTGACAGACGGGGCAATATTGACAGCAAGAGCCCACGTGTTGGGTGCGGGGGCGACGTCTCTGCCCACCCTTGTTCCTTGAAGTAGGGCAAGGCACGCTCAGCAGGGCCGTGAAACAACACCTATGGACACCCGCGCAAACAGCCATGCAGCCACAGCCAATGGGTGGGTGGGCACCACACGAGTACCTGTCCCTCGCTGAGTACGAGAACGTCATCGAAAAGGCTCCATATCGACGACCTTGGCTGGTGTATCGAGGCGACGACTGTCTTGTTGAGGTCGCGGCACAGCCGGTGCAGCACCTCCATCACCTGCAGCGCCTGAAACGAATCCAAACCCGACGACGGCTCGTCGGCCAATATCTGACAAACATGTCAAACGCACAGACAGACAGACAGACAGACACAGAGACCGTATCCATGTTTCTGTGTGTCTGTGTGTCTGTGTTGTTTTCTTGTGGCTTACGAGTTCGCCCCCGCCAATGAGCTCGCAGGCGAGATTGAGCCTCTTGCGCTCGCCGCCACTCAAACCTGTATGCGAACAAAGCGCAGGTATTTGCAAGCGGAAATAAATACCCAGACAGCCGTACTGACCAGGTCCGTTGACATCCCCCACGACCGTCTCAGCGCATTTGGACAGACCCAACTCGCGCAACACATTCTCTGCGGCCGCATTCTGACCCCACCCACCCCACCCGCACACACACACATGCATTCACACAAGCAGATGATTGACGGATACCGCCGCAGCCAATGGTCGCCGGCCAGCGACCGACTCAGCTCACCTTGGCCGGCGTGTCGAGATTTCTGGGCAGCCTCAGTCTGGCCATCAACCGAAGAGTCTCGCGCGCAGTCAAGAAGGGGAAGAACACTGACATAAATGGACACAAACGCACCGCACAGCAAACGATACAGATCAGACACAGAAGCCACATCCGTCTGTCTGTCTGTGTCGTCTCCTTACGGTCTTCCTGTTTGACGTATGCGGGTTTTTCTTTGTCCCTGAGGTCGTCGAGTGCCTTGCCGTCGCTGGTGATCTCACCCGTCAGCTCAAACCTCTGACCCGGGCTGCCCTTCCTCAGCTGACCAGCCAAACAATTCAGCAACGTCGTCTAAAACACATACACATGACAATGGCCCGAGGAATGGAATCCACTTAGCACATCTGACTGACCTTGCCGCTGCCACTGGGTCCGAGGATGGCGAGGAGTCTGCCCTTTTCGGCCCGGCCGCTGACGTCGTCGAGTATTGTGGTTGGCGGTGCGTGCGGGGAGCTCACCTGCACGTGCAGCGACCGCCACTGGAGATCCGACGTGTCTGCACCCAACCAAACAGACACAAACAAACAATGCGTAATGAATTGTGCACGGTTCCTGTACTACTCTTTCATTCATCCGCGTTAGTCGGTTGTGTACCTCCGCCCGGGACGAGAGATGCCGCCAGCAGCAGAACTGCCTTCATTTGGAGTGCACGTGGAGGCCGCCTTCGTCGCATCACACACAAACAAGAGATCCAACAATCAGGCGCTATCGCACGCGGAGCTCAGTCAGCCACAGGTCCTCCTCGTGAGGCACAGGCCCAACGCCTTCCACCGGCATCGCAACAGGAAGCCCTGAACACGCAAAAACACACACCCACACACCAATTGCCACGCACACACACAGTCGAGCCGACGCTCCTCTCTGTTGCTGATCTACCTTCTAGGAGCTCGTTGTGTCACTTTGTTCGAGAACCTTCCCGAAGCGTGATGCGAGCTTGAAACTGCGAGCTTTTTCGAAAAGCGAGTGTCTTTGGGGTGAGTGTTGGGCCAGACACATGTCCAGTGCGCACCAGCGTGTACCGTCTCAGCAGGGAGCAAAAGATAGGCGTCGAGATCTCAGGCCAGAGGAGCACACGTAGCCGGCGGTGAGTGACGTCAGGCGTCCGTCCCAGCGCACAGGGCAGGCGGCGGCACGCACAAGCAGCCAGCGGGGAGGGAGGAGAGATCTGTCGGTCGGTCGGCTGTCAGTCCGTCGGCCGCAGCGAGGTGGGATTGAGGAGAGGGCCAGAGGGGAGCGAGCAGAGAAGGGGTGGGTGCGTCAGGAGTGAGAGACACCACCTATGGCGACCCTTCCGTACATCGGCAGCAAAATCAGTCTCATCTCCAATTCGGAGATCCGATATGAAGGTCGGTAGCACAACACACAGTAGGACAGGTAGACAGACAGACGGGCAGGGAGGGAGGGATGTGCAGCTCTCCGTTGCGTGTCGCGCGATGAGAGAGGGGCAGGGTGTGGGAGGATGTGTGGGTCCTGTTCGTCAGGGTCACGGCCTCACTCTCCCCCTTTCTCTGTGTTGCCTGTCTGTCTGTGTAGGTATTCTGTACACGATCAACACCCAGGAGTCCACTGTCGCTCTCCAGAGCGTCAGATCGTTCGGTGAGCGATCCACCCAGAAAGGCAGCGAGGCAGGCCCTGCACCACACACACTGCTTCTGTGTCGGTGTTGCACCTTGATCAGGCACTGAGGGTCGCAAGACGCCCGAGATCCCGCCGTCCGAGGAGGTCTACGACTTCATTATTTTTCGAGGTACGCGCTTACCCACTGCCGATGAAGGAGTACGTCTGTCTGGGTGCATCTTGGTGTGTTCTTGTCTGTCTGTCTGTCTGTCTGTCAGGCAAGGACATCAAGGATTTGACGGTGTGCGAGCAGGCCAACAAGGTACCCGATGACCCGGCCATCGTCACCGTCACCTCTCAAGCACCGGCACAATCACCCAACGCACAGGTAACTACCCACGCCAGTCACCAAACACCATTTTCTTGTCCTTCGTGTGCGGTTGTCTGTGGGTTGATTAGGACCAGGGCCTTCCAGGTGGTGTGGGCATGAGTCAGCGGCCGCCCCAGGGTGGTCCGGGCGGCGGAATGGGCGGCCCAATGGGCGGCGGCCGTGACCGACAGGCCAACTACCCGCAGTACCCATCAGGCGCCAACAGCTATGGTACGCGACGCACATCACGGACCTACCTGTCGTGACTGACGCGTTGGTGTGATTGATGGGTATATGTATGTGTGATTGCACTGCACTGCAGGTCAGCAGGACGGGTACCGCTCGTCTGGGGGTCACATGAACCACATGGGTGGCGGCGGATACGGAGGCGGGCAGGGGCCATCCGGCGGCGGATACGACAGAGGCTACGGGGTAAGCAAGCAAAGCAATCGAGGAACGGGCAGGCAGGGAGGGAGGGAGGGATGCAGACAGGCCGCGTAGCGAGCTACATACGTACATACGCAGATAGATACTTCGTAACCGACATTCATGTGTGGCGCTTTTTCTTCTTTCGCTTCCTCCTTGTCTTTCTGTCTGTCTGTCTGTCTGTCTGTCCATCCATCAGGGTCCACCGCGGTACGACTCACGAGTAAGTCCCCCGTATGACACAACACTACCCCATGCACCCATCCATCCATGCCTCTGTCACTCAATGGCCGTATGGGTCCATTTGATTATGTGTGTGTAGGGTGGTCGTGGCGGTTATTTCTCCTACGGCGGTCGTGGTGGTGGTCGTGGGGGCTACGGGGGCTATGGCGGCGGGGGGCCACCCATGGGCGGAGGACCGGGCGGCGGATACGTAAGCAACAACCTCACATAACTCACTAAAGACAGGCAGACAGACAGACAGACAGACATCCCACAAGATATCACCTGAGCATTAAGATGGGTGTTTGTCTGTCTGTCTCAGGGAGGTCGCGGTCCCCACCACCGTGGTGGCGGCCACCCCCACCACCAGCCCAACGCGCCCCGCACTGTGGTTGGTGAGCTGCCGGCCCAGCCCAACGCTGCCGTCAAGGAGGAGATGCGACGCGAGGGCGAATTCAATTTTGAAGATGCCAACCTCAAATTCGACAAAAACGCCATCAAACGTGCGTGCGCACCGCACCCACCAGACAGAAGCGCGACTGATGCATCCAATGCATGTGTTTGATGGTTGAATGCGGTGAATGGCTGCATGTGTGTGCGTAGAGACAGCGCCCAACGACCCGCATGTGGGTGACGTGAAGAGCGGGTACAACAAGGCGTCGTCGTTCTTCGACAGCATCAGCTGCGAGACCCTCGACCGCCAGGAGGGACACGACACACGACTCGACAGAGACAAACAAAGACAAGTCGACACGGTACCTACCTGCATACCCCACCCGCCCATTCACGCAGGGATGGATGCATGGATGGATGTTGCACGCAACACATTGGGTGTCTGTATGATGTATGTACGAGTAAATTTTCTGTCTGTCTGTTCGTCTGTCTGTCTGTCTGTCTGCGATGTGTCAGGAGACGTTTGGTACGGCAGCGTTGCCCCGTCGCGGTCCGGGGTTCGGTTATTTTGGCGGTCGTGGGCGGGGCCGGGGGCGGGGCGGATACAGGGGCGGCGGACGCGGGTCGGTACATGACATCCACACCATACCCACAGACTGAAATATGGCCGATGATGGATGTCTTTGTATGTCTATCGTGTGTTTGTGTGTCAGGCGTTACCCGCCGTTCGGCCACAGCCAGTATCGCCCGAGACCGGCTCCGGTGGGGGGCGGCGGATACGGGGGGCCGCACATGGACGGCTGACCGACAGACAGACAGATCGACCGTGAAGTCTTCGACCGACACCACACACCACACACACATCACACCACATGGACCTACCTGACACGCAATCTGCATGCCTATATGGATTATGGATGGATGGATGGATGGATGAGTGGCTCGTCCACTCACTCGCTCATTTCCTTCTACGTGGATGTACGTCGTATGTGTGTATGTATGGCATGACACGTACGTACACCTTCACACCCGCACCCACGCGGCAAAGGAGGGAGGGGAGGGCATACTCATAATGCACAAGGATAGGGGCAGGCAGGTGGGCAGCAAGCCAGACAGCAAAGGGACTTGGGCCAACGGTGTCACCAAACGCACCAGGCCGGTCTCGAATGTCTCTTGCCTCTGTCGTGCTTTTGTCCCTCGTCTGAATGCGGCCCCTCTTGACTTGGCTGCGTGTGAGTGGGTGGGGGGGGTGGGTGGGTGGTGGTGCATGACACACACACGTACACGTACATGTTGGGTGGAAGGATGGATGGATGAATGGCTGGCGTATATCTGCATTTCAGTGGAGGGGCACAGCTCAGCACGGCACAGCACAGCACACAACACGGAACGCACCACGAGAGGAAGGAAGGAATCAACGGACGGAGGGCAAGAGGGAGGGGAGAGACAGAGAGAGAGGAGGAATGGAATGAACCGGATCGACTCGTATGTGGTATGGTAGCGTAGCGTGCTGCTGTCAAAGCCCCGAAGCGAACGATTGGGAGGGGGGAGGGATCTGTCTGTGTCTGGGAGAGTGAATGGAATGGGACAGGGGTGCTGCGGGCATGGGTGTGTGTATGTCTGCACGAGGTGGGCAGGGAGACAGACAGGCAGGCAGGGAGGGAGGGAGGGGAGAGCGAGGGACAGAGCGATGTGTTGTGGCTGGCAGAAAGGCGAGCAGGCGGGCAGGCAGGTAGGCAGGCAGGAAGGAAGGGGCGACACGCGACGAGAGACGAGATGAGTGGGTGCTCTCTGCCCGTTATTTGGGGCAGAGAATGCGCCACACGCTCCGACAGACCGAAGAAGAGATTGACAGGGAGGCTGCATGGATGGCTGGATGAATGGATGGATGTGCGAGTGTCATGTGTACCTATGGTGTGCTTCTTCCTTTGTGTGGAGATGGATGGATGCATGGATGGGTGGTTGGATGGTTGGTGGATGTGCATCGCATCGCATCGGTGTGCGTGCCGTGCGGACATGACATACACAGCATAGACAGCATACACATGTATGCGCGTCCCGGTTGGATGTCGTCGTTTGTTTTCTGGCTGGCTGGCTGGCTGGCTGGCCATCTGATTACTGTGCAAAGGAGGAAAGGAGAAGGAAAGGAAAGGAAAGGACAAATAGCCGCATTGCCTGCCTGCCTGCGTGCCCACCTGCCTGCTGTGTGTCGGCATTCATCGTTGATGTCTCTCTCCCATCCCTCCGTCTGCCCGCCTGCCTGCCTGCCTGTGTGGCTGTCTGATGGGCGGGGATGCTGCTGGTCTGCACACACGTACGTACGTATCTGCCAACGGGGAGAGGGGGGAGGGACACCTACACACACAGGGATGGCACACCACACCACACACACATGGGTTGTGAAGACTCACTCGCTCACTCACTCACAAACATATGTTGACATGATACGACAGGTTATGTATGTATCTGCCCAGCCAGATATCTCAGTACGTATTTCATAAACCGATGGACTGAGGGACGGACAGATACAAAGCGCATCGGCACGAGGAATCCATCAAGAATCCAAACTAAGAACTACGCAAGCTGTCCCTTCAATCACTGCAAGCATGCCAAATAGAAGCCTCTGCCCGACCCCCCACCGAGTCCGTCATGGATCATCAACCCTTGACATGTAGAGTGCACAGAAGTGATGCCCTGGGGAAGTGGCCATCAGAACGCTGACATAAGGATGGTGAGCATACTCGGGAGTCAGTTTTACCGCTCTCACCATTGGCAAAGCCCTTGTTCATCGAGCCGTCTCTGTCAGATCCGATGTGAGTGAAGAGACTATCCGTCACTGAGCCACACACACATGGCCATGAGTCCCACACGTCAAAGACCACAGTGCATGCCGCTGGTACACTGTACAGATACCGGTCATATTCCTGGCCAATCCTGTCACCCCTCAGTGGCACCAAAAAGGACAATATGGGCACTGAGGCGGACACCGCCCGAGCAAAAGAAAGCTCCTTCTATTTATAAAGAAAGCTTTTTCTATCCAGCACCTTAGTGAAAATATCGGCTACGTTTTCCTTGCTCGGCACGTATCTGAGGACCATCTCTCTCTGTATAGTCACGTAAATAATGAAGGTGGCGCCATACAGAGAGAGACGACCACACGAAATGAACAAACCAACCCATTCCTCCAGCACGAACTTCACATATACGAGTGCCTTGGTGCACTGCGCCATGGCATCATACTCTCACTCACATGCATGTACCCTGTGCAGCAGTGTGCTGGACGGGCTCCGCCACATGACAACGCCGCCACCCATGAACACCACATGACCATCAGTCGACTTTGCTCCTGGCTGGTCAGTCAGTGACGCATCAGCATAGCCATCCAGATTGAAAACAGCCAGACGCATGCACATCCACTGTGTCCCATTCACCGCCAGAAAAAGTGATGCCTAGCTCCCGTGTCCCCTTGATGTAACGCAGCACATGACCACACGCATGTACATGTACATGAACAGGTGTGGGTGCATCCAACACACGAGACAGCACGGAACACGCAAAGGACAGATCAGGCCTACATGTCGACGCAGCGTACTGCAGGTGGCCCACTACAGATCGATACGGGAAGCCAGCTATCTTGGCCAGTTCTCTCTGTGAGTACGCATCACTACGCACATTGAGATCGGGGCCGATAGGTAGAGGGCAATCGGCCGGCGTGCAGTCAGTCATATTGAACTTGTCTAACACAGCATCCACGTACTTAGACGGATGGAGCGTGAGCAGGCCACTCTGTCTGTCCCGAGCAAGTGACACGCCCAAAAAGGTACTCACATCTACAAACCCTTCATTCAGTCGGTCCTGCAGCCACGCATAGCTCTCACTCGTCGATGCAACTACCATATCATCTACATACCGCGCGAGCAAAATACGGCGAGACTCGTGGTAATAGAGTCACGTCTCACTGCGAACAGATAGGAAGCCCAGCTCACACAAATACGAATCGATATGTACGTGCCACGCACGAGGTGCGTCGGGCAGACCATACAGCACCCGCTAACTCCATCACACACCCAATATATCCACACGATAGCCATCAGGAAACTCACACCATAGAGGCTCATGCAAAGGAGAGTAAAGAAACTGTCTCGACATCCATGTGCTTCAGGTCAAGGTCCGTCGCATTGGCTGTGCTGGCTTCGACACGAAACGCATCAAAGTTGAGTGTGGGTGAGAATGTCGGGTCTCTCTCCTGCCATGGCTGCTCAAAACCACGCACCGTACAGCAAACACCTATTTGATAGACAGGACCTGACCTCTAGCTGAGCTACGAGACACTGTCTTGTACACTTCCTTTGCACGCACACTATTCATCTCACGATCCATCGCCTCCTCCATCTATGTCTCAGTGGATTCTTCATTGCCTGCGCATACGTCTTGGGCTCGCCCAAAAGCCGGGCTTGCGCCAAGTCACGCCTCAGCTCCTCATCAATCACAGCAGGCATGGCAGCCAGACACATCAGTGAGTGAATGCACACTCATTCTATTCACACGACACGATACAACAAAGCACAACGCACCACAACACATCACATCACACACACGCACATGCACACTGATGCACCGACCCCTCTGCCTCCCCCTCTATGTCTACGTCCGCCCCGCATCATCGCCATATCTGTTCTGCGGCGGCTTCCCCAGTCGCACGCGGACGCGGTCGTTGAGCATCTCCTGCCACTCCCGCTGTGCATGCTGCCTGCGGAGGATGGTGCTGCCGCGCAGCTGCGGGGCCCTGTTGCGGATGTAAGCAAGGTGGGCATCTTGTTCTCCTCCTCTGTCCTGACGACGTTGACCTGCCGTTGGGGGCACCCGCCGATGTCAGGACCCTCATCGTGACGCCGCACGTACAACACATCCTTCACTCGCATCTCCGCCACACGACCCTTTGCTGTCCGCACGAACAGCTGGACATCACCCACCCCCTCTGCCATTGTTGTATCCCCCGTCACCGATCGGATACGGTACCGGTTGGTGGGTGTGAGGTTGAGGAAGTTGCCCTTGTCGAACATGCAGTGCTTCTGCGCGCCCGAGTCCGCAATGATGCAGTGTGTCGATGATGGCGTCCTCCACCCTTGTGTGTGACGCCATGCTGATGCCGTGGCTCTCCTAAATGACGTACGACTCCTCGAAGACCGGCGAGGCCTCGTCCTCGAATGTCGCGTTGGTGTGGTACGAGCGACCTCCGCCCCCTCTGCCGCGGGAGGCACCTCTGCCCCGTCTCGACGGCTGATAGCCGCCGCGGCCACCTCGACTGCGATATCCTGGGGGCACCCATCCATTCGGCCACTGGACCCGGTTGCGCTCCTCATCCGACTTGAGCACCCAGCAGTGCTTCCAGCCGCCCTTGTGCGTCTTCTGGCAGTAGTCGCAGAGGAGGGGCGTGAGGGGCTTGCTGTTGTCCGCCTGGCCGTCACCGCCGACGAAGCCCCCTCTGCCGTAACCACCCCTGCCGCGACTGATGCCCCTGCCGTTGCCTCGGCCTCTGCCGTTGCCTCTGCCGCCTGTGTTGCCGGTGCTCCACGATTTGACGCTGGCCGACATGGAGATGTTGCCGCTCTCCATGTTGTGGTCGTCGGCGTAGTCTTGCAGGCGCTGCTGGAACTGCTGCCAGTCGCGGAGTGCTGGCGAGCCGTAGAGGTACTTGATGAAGTCCTCGAGGGCTGTCTTGCTGAACGTCTTGCAGATGGCTTTCTTCATGATGTTGACCTTAATGAGATCGTTCACCTCCTGGCCGAGCGCCTTGGCCTGCGCGCACAGCTTGTTGAAGCGCGCCAGCTCGAGGGGTACGTCGATGGTCGCCATCTCGAAGAGAATCACGTTGTCGACCGCCCTGCTCTTCATGGCGTCCAGGTCTGGGGCATATGCCGCTGCCAGCCGGTAGAAGAGCTCTGCCCCGTTGCCCGTCTTGTCCTTGTTGCCTCTCCATTCTGCCATTGCCGACTGGATGATCTCCTGTGCCCTGCCCTGGCAGCAGATGATCAGCAGGCTCCAGAGCTCCTTGAGGGCCTGTGCTGCTTGGTGGGGCGGCGGACGGGCTCGTCCTTCGAGCCAGCCGAGAGTGCCTGCGTCAGTGAGTCAGCCTCCCACAGCCCTGGTGCTGCGGCCCTTTCTGCCTCGGTCATGGGCAGGAGCGCCTCCATCGACCTTGCCGTCATCAGGCCGTACAGCTTCATGTAGAAGTCGTACCACTCCCCCGCTATGCCCGAGAACTTGAGCATGTCGGTCATGGGCTTGGACGAGAAGCCACTGGTCTGCCCTCCATTGCCGAGTGCTGCCACCACTGCTTGAGTGATGTCTGCAGCGTTGGTGCCCTGTACCTTGGCCATCTTGCTGGCGAGGGCCTTGCCCAAGGCTTCAGCAATCTCCTGGGCATTGACGCTCATCACGTCCCTCTTCACTCACGACTCGCCACCACTTGCTGCGCCCATGTCAGATCCGATGTGAGTGAAGAGACAATCCGTCACTGAGCCACACGTACGGCCATGAGTCCCACACGTCACAGACCACAGTCAGCTGGTACGCTGTACACATAACGGTCATAATGGTCATAATCCTGGCCAGCCATGCCATAAATTCTTGTCATGTCGTCGTTTAGAACAGCGTCATTCGGCTGGCTCAAAGGACGATGCATCGGCTCCTTCACTCTCCTCGGGATCGCTCGGTCTTCCACATATATGAACCACCCTTGGCGCACTGGCGGCATTCGTCCACTGCCTCGCGTGGAAGGTCGGTCAGCAAGATGCTTCTCCTCTTAAGATGTTTCCAATGATGCGCAGCCTGTCGTGGACGAATGCCAGACAAGTGCTTCCTTCGCGTGAAAGACACTGGACCAGGCTTTCGGGGCACTTAGGACATTCCGTGAAACCGCTCTCCCCCCTCTAGGCCGCCTAGGGTGCTCCTGAAATCTTCCTCCTCTCTCTTTCTCTCTTCTCTGTCTTTGTACAAACGTTTGGGTGGAGGCTGAGATTCGTGAGATCTATCCATCCATCCCATTCTGCGGTTGCTTCTCGTCTCCCCCTGCTTCAACTGCTCGCTGGCCCTGCTCCAATTTGCCCTGCTCGGACTCATTGGCAAACGCCTGCTGTCCCTTCTTCCCTCGCCCACAGGGCTCCTTCCTCAGATGAGTGATGATGAAACTGCCTCGAGGTCACAGCGGCAGTGGCAGTTTGTACACCGGCAGTCCGTCCCGCTACGTCCCGCTCCCTGTCGGCCATCGTCCGTCCCGCTCCCTGTCGGCCATCCCTGCGGAGGGTCCGAGTGCCGACAGTCCCCGCTCGCTGACACCTACAGGCTCAAGTCGTCGGATCACGGAAGACACCCAGCCTCTTCCACCTTGCTTACCAACCAAGGCTGCCGATGACAGTGTGCCGGTGGACATCGGCACTGTGCCTGAGGAATGGGGGTTTTGGACTATCGAGACCTGCGGTCCGATAAAACTGGTCAGTCACTTCAGTCGGTCAAGAAAACGATGAGATTTCCGTTCTGCTTCCTTCTTCCTTTTGTTCAGTGGCTGAGGGACACTCCCGTCAACATCCTCATCGATATTGTCCTCGCGGGTGCGCTCAACTATGCCTACTGCATCACGCTCATGGATCTCGTCGGCCCCGAAAGACTGCGTTATTGGTGGTTCGACATTGCCTGTCGATATCTCTGGCCGACATTGATCCTCGCGTTTAAAATCGTGGGTCATTTCCAGCCTCCGCGCAGCGTCTTTGAAATGGTGCTTGTCAATATCGCCTGCATCGTCTCCGTCGGACTGGGCAGCTTCGCTCTATACATTGCGCCAATCGGACGTAAGAAACAACAATGGACAGGGACAATGAATCAAGATCAATGCATGCATCGGCTGGGTACACCTCTTGTGAATAGGTCTGTTCACGTTTCTGGTGTACATCGGGGCGATTTGGTGCAGAGGATGCACCCTTTTCACCACATTTGTCCCAAGGTCATTCAAGGTCCCACGGGCCGACCGGTGTCGCCTTCCTCGTGCCCATATCACTCAGCATATTCTCGCCAAAGAGTTCTCACCTCTTCGGTATGAGGAGTCGATTGCGTATCAAAGACTCGCTCAATGGTGTTCCTGCAAAGTCAGCGCCATCGCAGTGGTAAGCCACTGACGGACTTCTTCGTTTATGGCACCAGCAACTCTCTCTTTCTCTGCCTGTGTACATGTACGTTATCCTATTTGTCAGGAGAGATCACTCAAACTCTTGCTGTTTTTCCTCGTGATGCTCGATTGGACTTCCGATCTTGCCGTCGGTCTTGATCTTGTCACTCGTGGGCTTCTCTGGCAATCCGTCGTCATCTTCGTCCTCTGTCTCTGTGATTGCGTTGCCCTCAATGCACACTTTCGTGCGCGGCCTCTGATGGAATTGTCCCTGAGATTCCATCTTACCAATTTTATCGTCTCGCTGGGAGAGATACCTATTGCGATCATTACCTTCATGTCTATGCCGGTGGACCAGTCGGACCTCAGTACAATCGTCCTTTACGTCCTTTCAGTCGTCTTCACCTGTCTGATGGTCTGCTTCAAAGGAGGAATGCTGTTTGCCCAAGTGAGGAGAAAGCGACTGAGAGAGAAGCAGACGACGAGCAGCATCACGAGGACCACCACGAGGGAGACAAGGGCAGAAGCAGTCTTAGTCTGATTGCGAGGGCGAAAGGGGGGGATGGAAAGGGAATAGGGGATGCGTCCGCTCTCGCACCAAGTCAACTAAGATAGGCCGTGAATCGCGCGGTCTCGCGGTCTGGGGGGCCTTGTGAGGTTCGATCGAGTGTGTGGCCTAGGGTGTACTTCATTCGATGCTCTGCACACGTGAGTTGTGTGACATGTGTGTGGTGTGCTGGGGGGGAGAGAGGGAGTGGGATGATTGTGAGTTATATTGCTTTCGTCGGTGCTCTATCTTTGCGTCCAGGGCAGGATTTGTAACTGTCTGGCGGTGGATTACGTAGAGTGACTACTGTGCGTCGTGTGGTGGGTGGCCTTCGTGTGCTCGTGTATTTTGTGCATTCGTGTCTTTTGTGCATGCTGTCGACGATCAAGCTCACGAATCCATATGCCATACGTACACATAACGCATATGTATGTGTATGTGTGTTTCATAACTTGCCGACAGCCCATCGCCCCAGCTAGCATGGCAACGCGATGGATCATTCTGTTTTTTCGTATTGGTACATATACCATGCGCCGTAGGTAGATTGGTGGGTGGGTGTGTTGTTGGTCGATAGATTAGTCGACTTGTTTCGGTCGTGCACAGTGGATTCGTGTTTTTTATGATGTAGTCAGAGAACCAATAAATTGAGAAATGTCATTAACCGTAACACTCGTCTGTGTGTCCGTGATACTCATACAAATACAGTCCCATCAGCACGCAGACTCAAACAGGCTCAAGGGGAGGAGGGATCAATCCCCGCCCCATCAGCATACC